TATGAAAAAGTCATTTGTCTTGAAATCAAAGTTTAAAGACTCAAAAACTGAATTGAAGGTAATTTGCTGAACCAAACTTCTCTGTTGGCAAATTACACTTTGCATTCAAGTTTTGAAGTGAAGAAGTTGTATTCACATCAGAAGGATTTTTTTTTTTTTTTTCTGTAGTTTTGTAATCCTCAGGGACAGGAAAAAAAAAAAAAAAAAGGACGATGGACCAAAAAACAAGGCATTTATTGTAAGAATAATTCTTACTCATGTTGAAAGACTTTTTGAACAAGCAGAGTCTGATCATGACAGTAGTGAATTTAACACAGGAAACCAGAGCAGTATCTCCATCTCTGTTGGTGGAACTGAAGTAGATGAAGGCCAAATGGAAATGCTTGCTTGGAAATAATAGCTAGAGCTCTTTTTCAATAAAAGAAGATTGATGTTCCTGAAAAACAGACCTATAAATTTTTAAAAGATCTTCTCAGAGTTATCAAGCCAGAGATGGAGTTTTTGAACACAGAATCTGAAGAAAGTGTTAGAAGTCAGTTTATAAATGGTCTCATCAGCATTCCCTCAGCTCAGAAATGTACTTCTTCAGCAGCTAGGAAAAGGCACACAGAAATCTAGCCAGGGCTTGATGATGACCCACAAAAAAGTTTAAGTGATTCATTTTTTTAAATCAACCTTCTTCATTTTTAGGTAGGATTAGTTTCTTTTTAAATATTACCTGCCACTTTATACTAAAATGATTGTGTTCAATATTTGTATTTTTATAAATTCATGTTTTTCTGTAGTAACCTTTCTAAATTTTTGCAGTTACAATGTATCATTTGGTTTCCCTAATTTGTATTTCTCTTAGCAGTTTTAAAATAAAGTATTATTGTTACTATGCTAAGTACGCACTTTGATTTTGCTTCATTGTTCAAGCACTCTTTGAGAAGATGTCTAAATAATATTTCAAACGTGATCCTGAAGGATGCGAGGACTTAGTCAAGAGGAGTTAGTTGGTGGACTGTCCTAGACAGAGTGCTTCAGGTGAGACAGGCACAGTGAGTTGACAAGTTCAGGATGGTTGGTTCTCGGAGTTCAGATGGATGAAAGGTCCAGGTTGAAAGTGGAATGACAGGCTGGTGACAGGCCACGAGGGCCCTTGAGAAGGCTTGAGTAGTATCCAAGGACTGGTAGGAAACCAGTGGAGGGTTTGAAACTTAATAGTGATGATCAGGCTTGCATCTTAGAAGCCAATCATGAAAAGCTAATTAAAAGATGCTTACGCCTTGGAAGGAAAGTTATGACCAACTGATTGAAAAGCAGAGACATTACTTTGTTAACAAAGGTCCATCTAGTCAAGACTATGGTTTTTTCAGTGGTCATGTATGGATGTGAGAGTTGGACTTTGAAGAAAGCTGAGCACCGAAGAATTGATGCTTTTGAACTGTGGTGTTGGGGAAGACTCTTGAGAGTCCCTTGGACTGCAAGGAGATCCAACCAGTCCATCCTAAAGGAAATCAGTCCTGAATATTCATTGGAAGGACTGATGCTGAAGCTGAAACTCCAGTACTCTGACCACCTGATGTGAAGAGCTGACTGATTGGAAAAGACCCTGATGCGCTGGGTAAGATTGAGAGCAGGCAGAGAAGGGGACGACAGAGGATGAGATGGTTGGATTGCATCACCAACTTGATGGACATGGGTTTATGTGGACTCTGGGAGTTGGTGATGGACAGGGAGGCCTGGCGTGCTGCGGTTCATGGGGTCACAAAGAGTCGGACACAACTGAGCGACTGAACTGAACTGAATCTGTCAGAAAACTTGCAAACATCCAGGTGAATGATGATGTGGATAAATCAGTGGCAGTGGGATGGAGGAAAAGTAGGTGGATTACAGAGCTCTTTAGGAGCTAGAATTCAGCAGGCATGATGGGGGTCAGGCATAAGCAGCTAGAGGAATGTGGTAGCAGTTACTCCAATCAGGGTTGCAGGGAGAGCTGTCTTGGTTTGTGTGGAAGGCTGATAGGTTCACTTTTACAGATGCCATGAGACTCCAAATCACGAGTTTCATTTGATAAAGAATGGGACATCTTTTAAATGTGAAGATCTAGGGCTCACAGACGTGTGGAGTAATCAGCATTGGGAGAGGACAGAAGAGAATGGGAAGAGGAAGAGAAACTGAGTAAGAAGAGCCAGGGCCAGTGGAAGAAAAACCAAGAGAGGGTGGTTTTGGAGAAGCCACTTTCTAGAAGTGTTTCTAGCGGGGGAGAAAAAAGGAAATGCCACTGGCAAGTTATGATGAGTTTGAACAAGATAAGGACCCAGAGGTTGTGTTTGTTTCAACTTTATAGCTGACTGGTGACTGTGCAATGGCAGTCAGATGATGGGAATCCTAAAGTGAAGAATTAGGTATCTAATTCAAGAAGTTTCCAGTGGAAGAAAAGAGAAAGGAGGTAACCTGGAGATTGGTAAGGAACTGAGGGCAGGTGTTGAGGTTAAAGATGAAGGAGACCTGAGCCTGATTAAATGGTGATGGGTATGAGCAGGTAGAGAGGGCAAGTTGGAGATACAGGGAGGGTGATTGGGCATCCGTGTCCCTGGGAAGGTGGAATCGAGTGGAGGCTAGAGTTTCAGGAGAGACTGGGTTTGTATTATAAAGCGAAGGAAGTAAAAGTCTGGATCCGGCTAAGTGTCTGTGAGCGATGGTGGAAAGTGAGGCCGTTGCTTCTGAAAGGGCTCTTTATTTTCTTTGTGATGTGGACAGCATTATCTGCTGAGATTGAGAGAAGGTGGAAGGGGGGAGTTTGAAGGAGAACAGAGAATATTTGAAATATCTGCCGTGGAGAAGGGGAGCGAGAGCTGACCGGGGACAGCTTGAGGGGTTGAGGTTTCTGACGGTAATTGGTATTGGCCCTGTGTCTTTGTGAATTTTTCCAGCAGCATAGAATAGCAGTCTCACCTGCCCTTCCTGAGCTTTGTGGGGAATGTTTGAGGAGTTTCTGGTGAGTCAGGGGTAGAGTCCATGAACAGGATATAATGAATGTCATGGTCATCTTTGACAGGTCCATCGGTGTTCTGTGCTGCAGGGTTAAAGTAGTCTCTGAAGTTTTGAAGTGTGTGAGGCTCTTTGCTCCTTCAGTAAATGTCCCCAGACTGCTGTCTTGTTGCTCTTTCAGTTCGAATCCTCTTTTTTATACTGTTTCTATCTCCTCCCTTTTTGTTTTCTTCCTTATTGTCAGTGGTCTGTCACATTGCTGTCTGCATGCAAGTCTCTGTCAGCCCTACACTCTGGACTTTGTCAGCATCTGGATTTATCACACCTCTGAAATCAAGCTGTGGGCTGGAAGACCAGACAACCACGCTTATTAAAATTATGTGCAAAGTAAGAGGAAATAACCTCTGAGTGTGATTCTCACGTGCTGTGCTTTGAGGGTGTACATAAGTGTTTGTACATGGATTTTGTGATGTTTTCTGGGTTGTCTTATCAGCTGTCCATATATGAGATGCTTGTTGCCTGTGTTCCCATTGTGTTTTCCCTTGTGCTGAATTTCCATGGATTGTGATAATATTCTTAGATAGCTCATGGTAATAGTGATTTTTTTTTCTAATTATTCTTTAGTACTTGCAAAGCATTTTCATGTGTATTACCTAAATTTAGAACTATATGATTAGATATTTTATGCTGCTATTTATTATTAGTCTCATGGATTTTCAAATACATATTATGTATGAGAATAACGTGTATTTTCAAATATTGATGCAGTTTGTATGAGAGTAACCCACCATGTCACAACTCAGTCATTTAACCATATCACATGTAAATGAAACAAGGCAATGTAAATAAGTATTTCGGAGGTTTGAAAAGTAAGTTATCTACTCCAGCTTTTTGTGTATTTGGGCTTTTTTTTTTTAATAGATACAACTCTCTCATCTGTGAATATCTTTTGTCTGTGTCAACAACTTCAATTTTTTTACAGAACTATTCTTAGGTGTACAGTAGTAGATAACGCTTTGTACATTTTCTGTAAATTAGTTTAATTTTGACCCCAACCTTCCTTCTTGTTAGGAGGAAGATAAAGTCAACACCAGTCATTTGGACACTTTGCTCCACCCCCAAGGTTGTCCTAAAGTTTGGAGTCTGGAGAAATGCCAGACATTGAGGAGAGGGCCCTGAGCTGCCATTGGTCACCTGGCCGCCGTGGGGGCCTGGGAGAGGCCCTCATCCCGGCCCTCGCATCCCTCCAGGTGCAGCAGCCCTGCTGATGCCTTTGGTGCTTACTGTGCGGGAACCTCTGGTGAGGCCCAAAGCCCTGGGTCTGGGCTTGTGCCTCCCAGGGGCACTTGTAAGCTCTTTCCTCTGAGCTAAGACTCTGCCTTAACCTGGGCGGTGTGGGAGAAGAATGCTGCCAAGTAACTCTCAGACCTCTCTCCTTTCTCCTGTCTGGGGAGATCCGTTTTATTTGTTTATTTAGGCCATGCTGTGTGGCATGCAGGATCTTCCTTTACACAGGGATTGAACCTGTGTCTCCTGCATTGGGATCATGGAGTCTTAACCACTGGCTGCTAGGGGAAGTCCCTAGGGAAATCTTTTTTAATCTACGGGAAATCCATCTATCCTCAAACTTTGTTCTCAGTAGGTTGGGGGCGGGGNGGGGGGTTGGTTGATGTGGTTTTTTTGATGTGGTTTTTATAAAAGCTAGGAAGCCCTGATACAGTATAGCCTGTTTATAGGGCAATAACACAAATTTCTTTTTAAAAGTAAGGTAGTGAGTTGCAGAGTAGTAAAAAAAAAAAAAGGAAACTCAGTAGGCCACCTCTGTTGTCCTACCACCTCTGAGACTAAACCTACATTGATTGCTCAGTCTTTACTTTTATAATTCAGTGAAGGATATTAATTTTTGTTAACTATGTTTATATTTTATTGATATATTTTCTGAGTGATTTAAATAGTAAGCAGCATATGACATTTTTTAGTGTGCTGTAAATATTCTAATTTTGTTTTGTCTTATTGTACCTAAGAACACTGGAACTATTTTGGGGCTGATGAGAATCTTGGTCCAGTGGCTGTGAGCATTCGAAGGGAAAAACCAGAAGAAACGAAAGAAAATGGATCTCCCTACAACTATCGAATAATTTTTAGAACTAGTGAGGTAAGTTGCACATGAGAAAGACTTGAGGCTTAATTTGTGAGAAAAAAAATAGAGTCGTAGCAGTAGCAAAGCAATTAAATTTAATAGCACATGGTTATAAATGTCTTTAGAACAAACAAAGACCCCTTTCATTCATTCTGGTGGTGACGGGGGTGGACATAATGATTAGATCTGCACCCTTTCTTCCCATCTAGCTTTGGGTAGATGCAATAAATGAATGGGAATTTTGATTCATAGAAAGATATGTTCATTAAGTGTGACCCAAGGAAACTGGAGTCCTCAGAATCCCAAATTGGATATTACATATCCTGTTTGGGCAGCCGGAAGGCACTGAGCCAGCTTGAGGAGCCAGAGGGGGTCAACTAAAACTTAACTCACTTTTTCAAACTATTGTTGAGGAAGTTTCTTGACCCAGGAAAAAGGAAAGGGACTCTTCTTGGATTTTTTTCTTTGCCATCTTGGACCTATTCTCGGAGGCTTAAAATAATGACTTCTGAACGAGAGGCTGTCTAATTGTGGGTAAAATGGGTCCTTGGAACTCTTTAAGGAACTAAGTACACATAATATGTGAGTTTCTATTTTAAAGTGAATTGCAGATAAAAAAGAGAAAGTGAAAGTGAAGTCGCTCAGCCGTGTCCGACTCTTTGCGACCCCATGGACTGTAGCCTACCAGGCTCCTCCGTCCATGGGATTTTCCAGGCAAGAATACTGGAGCAGATTGCCATTTCCTTCTCCAGGAGATCTTCCTGACCCAGGGATTGAACCTGGGTGTCCTGCATTGTAGGCAGACCCTTTACCATCTGAGCTACCAGGGAAGTCCAAAAGGAAACAAAAGAAAATAGCCAACAAAGCATTAAAGAAAAACTCTGGTGGCAAAGATGGTAAAGAATCTGCCTGCGATGCAGGTTCAATCCCTGGGTTGCAAAGATCTCCTGGAGAAGGAAATGGCTACCCACTCCAGTGTTCTTGCCTGGAGAATCCTGTAGACAGAGGAGCCTGGAGGGCTATAGTCCTGGCATCCCAAAGACTGGGATGTGACTGAGCAACCAAATACATATATCTAGTATTCAAATATTTATATATAATACATATGTATATTTATTCTCAAAAGTAAAATAAAAGCAAGCACTAGAGTTTGTCATGTAGAGACTGTTAAAGCTTTGCCTGACTTCCAGATTCAAAAAAATGACCTCATGAACAAGTTTGGGACTATGAGGGAATTTTTTTGTTTTCTTTCTAAACGTGTGTATAGTTATGCCAGCTACCAATTTATTGCCTCTCTGAGCCAAATCACTTTAGGATTGTTGTCATACATTAATGCCTAATACCCCCTTGAGGTAGGTAGAAAATAATGGTTTTGAAACTAGTTTAAATAGGGCATTTGGCTTCATTTCCCCCATTGAATACAAGACAGGTTGCAGGGGTTGGCTTCACTTAGTAATTGTTTCTCAGCTTCAACTCTGGGGAAATTAAAAATAGGATTTTTAAAGGCACGGCTTTAATATCTAATATGTTGTGTTGAGTGGCCTGAGAGGAATGAAGAACTCACATGCTCTAGGGTCCTTTTTCTCCAAGCCAAAGCTGATCGTTAAGTAGGGTCAGTTCTTTCTTTTGTTGAACGTGAAAAGCACAGAGAATGCACTGTTTTTGAAGTTGGATGTAGGTAGTTGTTCCTCTGTCCCCACCAGCTTTCTCAGAGCCGCGCTTACCTCCTCCCACCTGTTTCTATCCTTCTGTGCTTAACCTTATCCCTGCCTAGTAAGGCCGCTCTGATTTAAGTCTTCATCATCCTTTTGCTTTTCTATATTTTTTGTTTCATTTCAGTTCCTTCTTGCTTCTATCCTGTCATTCTTCATGCTGGAGGTTGAGGCTTTCCAAGGTGGCCTTTTCTTTCTTTCTTTCTCAGATCCTGTCTCTGCTGTCCACGATTGTCCCTTCCAGCTTCCCTTGCCTGCATGCCTGGCTGGTCGCAGCCGCTCTCTCCAGGTTGGCTGCTGACCTAAGTGAACGTGGTCCCTCGGCCATGGTTGGGGAACCACGCTCGCCTTCTTCTGTTTTCTTGCCTCTCCCTGCCTCAGCCTCAAATGCTCCACCTACACCTCCTTCCTGTAATTACAGTTAAATCACACTTAAGGATTCCTTGGTCCTTTCCTACCAACCCATTCGATGGGCCCCCAAGGCCATTTCCTTACCATTTGATTGAAATATCCAAGTCAAATGTTGTTTATGATTCATTACCACCTGCTCTCCTGTTCAAATTAATGTTTAACCGATGACAGCCCTTTTGTTAGAGTTGTTCAGGCCAGAGACCTGGAGGTCCTGTTCGACTCCCCTCTCGCCCCCACCCCGCCCTCGGATCTGGTCTCCCCGCAAAACTGGTTGACTGTCTTTAGAATATGTCCAGAATTCAACCGCTCCTCCCATCTCATGCTCTGCCTGGGCCCAGACCACCTCATCTTCTCTTTTCTTCCTGCATCTTCCTTTAGGCCTGCATCCTCTCGAGCCCAGCAGGGATCCTTTAGAAATGGAGTACAGATTCTGTGATTCCTCAGTTCAGAGTCCCTTTAGGGTTTCCAGCTTCCAGGAAAGAGCCATTCTCCTCCCCAGCCGGGGAGTCCAGGCACATCTGTCTCTGTCCTTGACCTCGCTTCGTCTTTTCCGGCCGCAGCGGCCTCCTTTCTTCTGGGCAGCTGAGGACAGCCCTGCCTCGGAGCTCCAGTGGTCCCTGTTCCTCTGTGACCAGTGTTCTTCCCCAGGCATCCTTGTGGGCATCACTCTCTTTTCCTTTTGGCCTTTACTGTTAAGCCACAGGGGCCTTCTCGGCCAGTAGATCTAAAATTTCTACTGTCTCATATCCCACTTCCAGGCCTTTTTTTTTTATTCCCATGAACACCACTATCTCACACGTTGTACTTACTTATTTTATTCATTTTATGTCTTCCCCCTACTTGAATATAAGCTCAGGGATGTTGAGGACTCCAGGTTGTTCATGGTGGTGGTGCTTTAGTTGCTAAGTTGTGTCCAACTCTTGTGATCCTGTGGACTGTAGCCCGCCAGGCTCTCTGTCCATGGGATTTATGACTACACACCTAACAACTAAAATAGTCCTCCACCGTTTCATTACTTCCTTTCTCCCTCACATTTATTTAATTCATTACCACTATCTTTTGTCACTTTTTTTCTTTCCAATAGAAATAATCCTTAAGTGTGGTTTAATGGTAATATCTTTATGAGGTTTTTCAAAGAAATATACTAATGAAAGTCCTTTGATAGAAATATCTCTGGATGTTGGTCCCAATCCGGAGCTCTTGCACTTCGTAGGATGAACAGTTGACTGACTATTTAATAAAGTAGGACTTAATTCTTATGCCTTGGTAGGGATTTCTCATGCTATTAATTTCCTGTCAAGAAAAAAGAAAGCAGTCTCCTAAGTGACATTCCAGTTGCTTCACAAATGGTGTCAAGATAACAGAAATACAAACATATTTTTCATTTTAATAGAAATAATCATTGCACACTATAAAGAAACCAAAAAAGGACTTAACATGTATTTGTAAATGTGACTGTTTATGAACAAAATCTCTGGCGTGAGTGCTTTTAAGCATAGGTGCACAGGCATGTAGGTGGATTCTCTGCTTGTTTCTGAAAGTCATTAGCAAAGCATGCCGGTAACACTGGTGGTTCAGGTAAAAAATGAGTCATTCTTTTTCTCATCTGCTCAGACTTTTCTGGAGGTGAGCTGCTATCTTCCTGTGGTCCAGGATTAGCACTGCTGCCTTAGCATTCCTGGTCTGGGGCTCTCTCACTTGGAAATCCATCCACGCTTTGTATCTTCCCGACCCTCGACAGGCATTATCTCATGAAAGTCGGAGCACAGGAGTTGTTCAGCTATTTCTCATGATGTGAGAAATTAAACAAAAATCATTTCTGTCAAATTAGATATTAAGTCACAGAAAAGGATGTTTTTTTTTAACCCAAGTGTTATTTGAAAACAGACTATAAATGAAAGAAAAGATACCAATCAAATGAATAGACTGCAAATAACCTCAAGCACCTTCTTCTTGTCTTGAGAGTCAGAGGTTGGTGAACTTGGCTTTTCCTGCCCTCATCTCTCTTTCCCTTCCATTGGCACCTGTTACAGGTTTCACTTTCCTGGTGATTCTTCTTTTGGTTTCCATTTTCCCTGGTAATTCTCTGTCACATCATCTTGCCTGTTACTTGAACAGTACAGCTTCTTTCAAGCTGTATTCTCTGTAGTTTCTTTCTTGGGCAGTAGCAACTGAATTTTCTCATGTCATCATCCCTGTGCAAACAATTTCTGAGGTGGCCTGTTGGTTCTGGGTGAGGTGCCCACCCTTCGAGGTACGTTCTGCTGGGGACTCGGGCCCACCCCCAGCCCCCTCTGGCTCACTTAGATCCCGCTTAGCTACACTGCTCTCTCTTTCCTCCTCACACCCTGTTATTTCCCATCTCCACACCTCTGCTCTCTGACGCTGTCTTTTTGTACAGTTTTTCCTTGAAGGCCCCTTTTTAGTGCTACACTTTTCCATGAGGGCCTATCCTTATGCCCTGACCCACAGCAGTCCTTTTTCTGCTTTTGTTATAGAATCTGACTTTGCTAGATTTTTCTTAGTACATATATCCTCCTGGATGGATATTTCTTACCTCTCACCTTCTTTTCACACCATTCTTGGTCTTCAACATTTACTCCTTTTGCAGTATAACGCCTTATAACCTACATGCTTAATGGAAATTCATTCAACTTAATGGATTTAAGTCACCATAGAGTGTTTAAATTGTACTAACAACTTTGTCACATGAAAATTCCTGAACATGGAAGCTATTTTGCTTTGACAAATCATCATTACTTAAGGAAATGTCTTTGCTTATGTTTATATTTCATAATAATAGCAGAGTTCTTAAGACATAGGGGGAAAGCACAAGTCACTTTAAATGCTGTCGACAGTGGCTGCTGTAACTAATTTTAATCGTTGTCTTATCATAGCAGCATTTGGGGTTAGGAATAGTTTAAGCTTGTCAACAGTGCATTATGAAATTTAAAACTCTTCCCCTGCCCTTACCTCTTACAATTCAAAAAGGTGTAACATCCAAATTCTAAGCATTTAGTCTTCAGCTAGTCTCTGGGATATCTCCTTAATTTCCTGGTATTTGTGTAAGTGACAGTGTATAGCTATATGGAGACCTTGGTCTTCTGAGCTCTTCAAGGAAACGCATACCCTTTGGTATTTAAGGACATGACCTCAGAAAGCTTGATGATGAGTTCCACTGGACTTACCTGGGTCTTCTTGAAAGTACTGGGCTTGTTTTTCATATATAAAGTATCTTAGATCACTTCCCTCATCCTTTCTCCCTCACTGGCTCAGCTGATCAGCTGTCACCTTCCACTTCCTTAGGGGGTTCTTCCCCTTGTTGTATTAACTCATCTCGCTGGACATGTGTCTCTCTTTCAGCTCATGACACTGAGAGGGTCAGTGCTGGAGGATGCCATTCCCTCAACGGCAAAGCACTCCACGGCTCGGGGGCTCCCCCTGAAGGAGGTGCTGGAGCACGTGATTCCTGAGCTCAACGTTCAGTGCCTGCGGTTGGCCTTCAACACCCCCAAAGTCACAGAACAACTCATGAAACTGGATGAGCAGGGGGTGAGTGTGGCTTCCAGGGGAGGACACTTCTGTTGCTCAGGCTTCCCACTAAGCTTCCAGAATGAGACCTGAGTAGTTCTTTTTTGATGGGGAAAACTGATACCATTTATTATGAAGGATCTTCTCATTGCAGTTACTCATTTTCTTTTTTCTTAACTCACTGAACATTTCTCATCTGATGAAATTCTCTGTGTCAGGATTGACTGATATGGTACTTAAACAATGTTCAACTCTTTTGGTAATCTTCCATTAATGCAATGAATTTTTCAGATACTCCAGGAATAAGTAATAGCAATAACAGTAGCTGATACTAATGAACATATTCACCAGGCTCTGTTTTAAGTACCTTAATATATTATCCCAACTTATGTCCCAGCCCCAGGAGAATGGTACCATTTTTATCCCCACTTTAAGGATGAGGAATCTGAGACACAGAGAGAGGTTAAGTAATAAGTCCAAGTTCACACAGTTAATAAGTTCCAAGCATGTACTGGGGACCAGTATACCATACTGTTCTTAAGAGCTTTAATTTTTAGTCTATTAGTACCACCAGAGATGTATTTTTGTCAAGATTTTTAATTACAAAATTCAGAATTAAAAAAATCTGGATCCTAATATGTAACAAAATGAAAATACTCAAGATTTTCTCACCTCCATACTTCCTAAACCTTAATGTGAGGCCATTGATCCAGATACAAATGAGTGATAGGATAATTCATATGGAGGGGACAGAAAAGTAGAGAATGCAGAGCTGTAATCCACTAAATGGAGAGTGTATCCACATTCTAGTTGGAATCATTTGAGCATATGGGCCAGTTTTGTTAGACGTTGTATTTATATACTCTTATATTAACTCTTTCTTTGAATATTTTAGCCATACTGTGTCTTGACTGAGTGGTAATAGCTTTTCCACTGCATTTTTTTAGAGTCTTCAAAAAGGAAAGTTGGTCCAGTTATTGAATTCCATTCTATGAACAAAGTTTGATAGAATTTTCTTAATGAGGCAAAAATTTGAATTTTATTAAAATGAATTATAGTGCAAAGTAACAGTTGCAAGGTATGATTCAGTCTTTTAACTCAGCTGATAGGAGTATATTTTTAGATATTAGATGTAACTTTTCTAATCATCATTCCTTTTGTCCGTTCACCTTAAGCACAGCTAATATCTATTCCATATGTATATTTCAAGTAGACTGTGAATTTCCATATTTATAACACGTCAATTTGAGCACTTTGAATGCTTGGGGCTTCCTGGTGGCTCAGATGGTAAAGAATCTGCCTGTAATGTAGGAGACCCAGTTTCAGTCTGTTGGTCAGGAAGATCCTCTGGAGAAGGGAATGGCTACCCACTCCAGTATGCTTGCCTGGAAAATTCCATGGATAGAGGAGCCTGGCAGGCTATAGTCCATGAAGTCACAAAGAGGTGGACACAACTGAGTGACTAACACTTTCAGAAGACTATTGATACATAAATTTAACTATTTTGGGTGCTGTGTTCCAATAAATATTTTGAGCATTTATTCTAACAAAGGAAGAGTGGAAAAATGATGATTTATTTTCAATTTTACTGGTTCAAGGGAAACAACATTTAGACATTAACAATATAAGGGATGAGATTTGGGGGCTTCCCAGTGGTGCTAATGGTAAAGAACCTGGCTGCAAATGCAGGAGACACAAAAGGCACAGGTTCAATCCCCTGGATTGGGAAGATCCCCTGGAAGAGGGCATGGCAACCCACTCCAGTGTTCTTGCCTAGAGAATCCCATGGACAGAGGAGTCTGGTGGGCTACAGTCCATAGGGTCACAAAGAGTCACATATGACTAAAGCTACTTAGCATGCACACCTACAGTATAATCATATACTGAACATTCTAATTTCAACAGATTAAACAGATTATTTTGTGTAAAGGATGAATTTTTTTCCTTTTCACCCTAGGTTTTACTTAAATTAAAAACTGACTGCCCCAATTGTAGATATTTTATGGGACCCCTGGCACATTTCAGGTCTCTCTTAGTCTTTACAAAATATTAGACCACAGGTAGTGCTGTTCTGTGATAAATGCTTTATGGTTCCATCCACAAGGACTTCCCTGATAGCTCAGTTGGCAAAGAATCCACCTGTAATGCAGGAGACCCTGGTTCGGTTCCTGGGTCAGGAAGATCTGCTGGAGAAGGGATAGGCTACCCACTCCAGTATTCATGGGCCTCCCTTGTGGCTCAGCTGGTAAAGAATCCATCTGCAATGTGGGAGGCCTGGGTTTGATCCCAGGTTTGGGAAGATCCCCTGGAGAAGGGGTTACCCACTCCAGTATTCTGGCCTAGAGAATTCCATTGACTCTCTAGTCCATGGGGTCGCAAAGAGTCAGACACGACTGAGCAACTCTCACTTCCACAAGGAAAGGTGAAAGCACTATAATGAATTTAGCTTAAAGGTACATTTATTTAATTCACAAAACTGCCCATTATTCTGAATGAAGGGCTTCTTATTTTTGTTGTTGTTTGGTCACTAATAAGTCATTCTGACTTTTTGCCACCCCATGGACTGCAGCATGCCAGGCTTCCCTGTCCTTCACTATCTCCCAGTTTGTTCAGACACATGTCCATTATGTCAGTGATGCCATCCAACCATTTCATCCTCTGTCGACCCCTTCTCCTCCTGCCCTCATCTTGGGGGATATTAAACTATTTATCCTTTCCTTCATAAATTATTGATGATCATATGTGTTAAATGTTTTCTATAATGCTTTCTCAGTGAAATTACAATTTGGCAGTCTAGATGAGTCTCCCCAGTTATATTTTGGAAATTTTACTAGACAGTAGAATCTAGAAGTTTAAAACCTGCTATTCTGTGTGAGCAGCTCTATATCTGAACTAAGGGATACCACTCCTTGGCCTCTCTTTCTGTTTATGTATTCATAACATTTAAAGCCCAGGGTTATACTGATAAAAGACAGAGGACACACATACTTAGGGGCTTAGTCTAGGGAGTCATATTTTTGGTAAGGAAATTTTACTAATGCCTTGGAATCCTTTTGAGAAATTGATTATTCTGGTGACTTTACAGATAACAAATTTTGAAAAAGGAATGCCTCAAGGTGCTTATAATGCATTTGAATCACTGCAAAATGTTTTTAGTTTCCATCTGTGTCATCATCTTTTGAAATTTCATGCTTTGTACATCTTTATATTTAAAGAGATTCATAGTTTGAATTGTGTGTTCGTTGCTCAGTCGTGTCCAACTCTTTGCGTCCGCATGGACTATAGCCGATGACTGAAGCAACTTAGTACACACACGCATAGTTATGAATGCAAAAAAAAACAACTCACTGAAAGGAGCCTCTCCAGCTCCCTTTAAATTTTATTTAAATAATTCCTTTAAAATATTTTCTACTTTAACAGCTCACATAATTATTCTCAGATAAAGAAAACACTATTTGCTTGCTATACTGTGTCATTTTGCCTTTCAGATCTTTGGTGCTTTTTTTTTTTTCATTTACCATTTTTAAAAGCTAAAATGAACAGAAGAACAGATGTAAGTTATATCTATATGATATAAAAGATAGCATTTCACAAAAATATAAAAATTTGTTTCTCATTTGACTAGACTCTGATATTTATGTGGGAACTGAAGTTGACATTTTAGTTCCCCAAGTTTTAGGAAGTGATCATGTGCTTTGTGGCTTACCCATGCTTTCACGTTCACCTTCCTCACAACTTCCTGGGCCTTTCCCTATTGATTGATGTCCATTTCCATTGTCATCTGAAGGGCAGTCAGAAGATGAAATAACCTGCCAATGATTGCACATTGTCATGAATTTAGAACAGCTTGTGACTTAGCAAGTTTGAATTAACTCTGGATTTAGTTTTCCCATCATGGTCCTGGATCTTCACTTACGAGATAATTGAGAGCATCTCTTATGATGAAGACACTTTAGATAAGTATATATGTTTACTTATTACACTGTTCTAAGCTCTTTACCAGCATCATCTGCTTTTACCCTCACGGCACCCCTGGATGGTAGCTTCCAGTTATTGGCCTTTTACACTTGAGAGGAATGAGACTTTCAGAAGCAGTACTGTTTTGCCTTAGGAGTCCTGAACCCTGGATATGCATTTGCATGATACTAACTTTGGCTTTTAAGATTTGCAAGTTTTCATCTCTGGCTCAGATGGTAAAGAATCTGCCTGCAAAGTGGGAGACCTGGGTTCGATCCCTGGGTCAGGAAGATTCCCTGGAGAGGGGAATGGCAATCAACTCCAGTATTGTTGCCTGAAGAATTCCATGAACAGAGGAGCCTGGCAAGCTATAGTCCATGGTATTGCAGAGTCAGACATGACTGAGCTACTAACACTTTCACTTTTACTGTTTGCACATATCAAATTATTTTGATCTTCCAAACTACACTGTAAAGTATCAGGAATTTCATTATCTATTGCCAACTTTTTAATAGTATGGGTAATTCAGTTGCTTTTAGATTTGCCATATCAGTGCTGTTTTTCTTCATTGGTCATTAAAAAACACCTTTATCTCACCTACTCCGTGCAATGGAGTGAAAAGATCTTTCTACCAGCAGTGAAAGTGACATTGAAAGTGAAAAGAAAGTGAAAGATCATTATTCCAGGCCCTGTTTCAAGGATCTCACACGTGTAGAGCACTTAATGCAATGCCAGACACATGGTGAACCCTGAATGATGATAAAATAATAACTGTTAGTAGCTGTTTACGTGCATTACCTCATTTCATCTTTATAAGCATCTTGCTGTTATAGATAGTATAACATATCATGCTTACTTTTATAAGTAAAAATCATAACTTTTCAAATCCAGTAAATGTTCAGTAACCACTCTTTGCCGATTTTTATTAATAAATACTGTATGCTAGTAAGACACAGTCTTTACCTATGAAGGAAACAAAGTCATAAATTGCTGTAATAAAAGGTGGGTTTAATATAATGAGTGTAATAACAGAACTGCTAACAAACAGGCCAGTGGGGCCAAGT